TCAGATCCCTCTTGGTCTCTTTATTCAGGATAATCCTTTCTCGGTTTGATTTTTCTTTTATTTTCTGAGGGTAAACTATGCTATGCTAGGATTAAAGAGCAGTTGCCATTCTTGTGATGAGACACCACTGTATTATGCAGAAAAAAAGGGTTCCCCTTTCCTAGCCATGGGCTCAGGTGAGAGTTAGACTCTCCTCCCCTCAAGGCAGCCTGGCTTGCCCATCTGCCCCAACACACACATACACACACCCTCTTACGTACAGGGTCTGCCTGATATTCCCGGCTGTACAGCTCGTGGCAGTTGTTGAAGATGTACTCATAGGTTGAGTTGAGACAGGCCTTGACGCAGCCCTTGACCACCTGGCTGGCACGAGGGGGGCTCTGCAGCTCCTGGACCTGGGGAAGATGGCAGGAAAGGAGGTGAGGAGACCCCACGAGCGGGGGGCTGGGTTCCAATCTCCATTCAGCCCACAGGCTTCTGGCCTCTCTTCTCTCTTCTCCAGGGAGTCTAGAAGACGGTTGGCAGCCTTGCTGCTCAGGACACTCTGGGGCATTCCAGACCCCATTTCATGGTTTGGTTTGGACCAAAGTTTTCCAGAAGAGCTTGGGCCCACATGGAGTCACCTCTAAGCAGAACTGAGAACACCTCTTGGCCACATCCCTGATGCAAAATCCAGACCAGGAAAGGCATTAAAGGAGTTGCTCTCAGTGGCTGCTTCAAGACTGACTCCTGCAGGAGCTCTGGCCCAGAAGCAGAGAGCAACTTCTTGCAGTGAGGAGATCTCTCTCACAGCTACATTTGTCTTTCACAAATGGTGGATTCCATTGTAGGTGCCTTCAGCTCTTGAAGGTCCATTGTCATGTCCTAAAACAGTCTTCTCCATCCTGACCCCCCTCCAGATGGGTTGTAGTATCGGAGAGTTTTCCTACAGCTCCCAGGACTTCTCCAGCCAGCACAGCAAACGCCCTGGGAAGGTACCAGGATGTGGAACTCTGTCTTACTGGGGGCCTCCCACTCCAAAGACATGGCAGCAGTGCAGCCCTCCACCGCAGTGACAGTTCTTGCCTCCCTTGCTCTTTGGGAAGGAAAAGTCCAAACTCGGCTTCCAAACGTGGAATGACCTGGCATGGCTCTTTGGACTGAACCCACCTGGGGGGGAGAGCCTTTCACAGTCCTTTCAGGGGTGGTTTTAGGGAAGCAGAAGGCTGAAGAGAAAAAGTGCCACAGGGGTTACATTAAATATATCCAGAGGCCTGACCTACAGAGCCAACTTGAGAGCTTGGGGGTGAATGTTCTAGAGCAAACAAGGCTCAATGTTAGGGCACGTTAAGTCTCCTGCCCCTTCAGACAGTGGAATGTGAATCATCTGGGCTGTCAGAAATCATTTCACAGACTTCCCATTAACTGAAAAGAGACAAATGCAAATTTCACGCGTAATCAACCGCCTCTGCTGTGAAGAGCAGCTCCTCTTTCGTGTAAGATGAACTGCCTTGTTCCCAATTTTCATTCTGTCTCCAGAGGTGTTCCCTCCCTGCGAGAATTCAACTAATTGGCAAGCCAATGTTTGGCAACCTGCCACTGCCACAGGCAAGCTCATCAGCCAACTGCCAGTGAACAGATGCAGGGGCAGGTTGACCACAACGAAGAGGAATTTTGGACGGGATTTGCGGAGTTCTTGGATTTGGATGTGAAGAAAAGTCCAGTGACGTGCAGCTGGAGGAGGAAGATTGGACTAAATCTAAGCAAGGCCCCCCTTCCTTCTGAGGATTTCCCCCTTTCTGTTAAGGATTAGGGAGGGGGGTGAGGGGATCACATATCAGAGCTGGATGGAGCCAACAGAAATTGGGTCTCTCTATAAACGAAGGAGGAAAAGCAAGTAAGGCTGAACTGAAATAAGGGGTGGTTCTGTGCAAGAATGGAGTGGAAGGGGACCAAAGAAAGAATGTTCTCACGTGCTTGAAAAAGAGCCCAACGTGCCAAAATCGAAATCACCGTGAAGAGGGATTGGTTAGAGAGAATACTGGCTTCCCTGAAGGGCTTCCCCCATTCCTCCATGTACAGTGCCCACCACAGGTGGCTGCTTTGCTAAAGCATCTGAAAAGGCCTGGGCAGCTTCTGAACTTTTCAAAGTGCGTGCGTGTGTGTGTGCGCGTGCACCCACACCCACACCCGCAGAGGGCTGGGCAGAAATCTGGGGCTTGGGATTCCTGCCTCCCTTTCCAGTCTCGGGGTCTGCCCTCACGACTGGCTGGGGGGGGAGGAACTGGGGGGGGTGAGGGGCAAACCAGCCATGGCCTCCCACAGACCAGAGCCCCTGCCCAGCCCGAAGCCCCAAAGTCAGGAGTCCCCTCCCCCCCAGCCTTCAAAGTCCTACAAGGTACCCGTTGTCTGGGGAGGGCTTACCCAGAAAGGCCGGGAGCCCCGGGAACCTGGAAGAGTCATCCTACCTTCATTCGGAAAAAAGTTATGCTGGTCAGCAGGTCCACGGTAGACTTGAGGTCCTGCAGGCGCTCACGGCTGCTGGCGGGGAAGTTGTTCTGTTGGCAGGAACACAGAGGGGCTTTTCAAGGCGCAGGGACCCTTGGGGGAACCCAGAGCCAGGCTGCAGCGGAACGAGGGAGGGGCCCGATCGCAGGACAAGCCTGTTGCGGGAAAGGCTCAGGGAGGTGCTTCCCACCTTAACGGGAGGGGAGCTTTTGCCAGTCGCCCCAGCAGCCAAGCAGTTTGCTGCGAGACGCCTTCCTGTCCTCCTCGAGCCTACAAAGCTGCACTGGGGGTGCCCTACAAAATGGCCTGCGCTGATTTTAACCTTCTCACAATGAGCCAGGCCTCTCCTCCTCCCTTGGTACCCCAACCCACCTTTGATATTTTGGCCACCCCGCAGCTATGTGACATCTGAACTGGGAAGAAAGACGCTAAAATCTTGCTCAAAAGAGGGGTGGAGAAAAAGCCCCCCCCCCCAGTTCCTTAGCTCCTTTCTTCTGCCAAACTGTCTCACACAGAAAGCTTCAGCAGGAAACCTTTTGGCATTTGCCAGCTCCCCAGGGCTAGTCTTCACTTAAATGCTGGAGATACGATTTTCTAGTTGCATTCCCCAATAAATACAAACATTACTTTCACTGACTCCTGCTGTATTACTGCCTTTGACAAGCTTCTTATATTTTATGTGTGAATTTAATTCCCTTGGTCTATTAACACCCTCAGTTTAATATGTTATTCCGATCCCTCAGTGTGTGGTTTGGACTCACTTCAATTCTTCCTTAATAAATAAGCCATTATTTTTAAGGAATTTGTTTAGGGTCTTTTAGGGTATCAGATTTTCGTGAAGCACCCTTGGGTCAGCATTTCAGGAACCTGCACATGGATGCTCAAATGCCATTTATATAATACAGAGGCAGGTCTGCAAACCACAGACTCGGTCGCAATGTGCCAAGGTCCTAAGCGCCAGGCCCCCCTCCCACGGAAGCACAGAACAACCAGCTTGTGCCTCTGGTGGCTTTCCCACCCCCACCCTCCACCCCAGCCACCCACATGCAGTGTCTGCTCTGCTTCCGGTCCATACCTTGTGTTCATGGCCAATCCAGGCTGGAGGTTCAGCCTTCTGGCCTCCATGGATTGATAAAAACCTGGCTCACCCGCTTTCCTTGCAGAAGGATGCCCCAAACCAGGTTCCAATGAAACCTGAAACTACCCACTAAATCAGTTGGGGGGTCCGTCCACAACACCGAGAAGCAGGAAGTGGAGGGGAGAAGGGGAGGGGAGGGGAGGGGCACTTGGAGGCTGGTGAGAAGCAAGAGCTCCTCAGAAAGAGCTTCTGGCTTATGAACGTGCTGGAGATCGCCGGAGACCCACCTGCTTCGCCTGGCTGCAGAATGAACCCATTTTCTGGGCTATAAAGGCCCAGCAAAATCTGGCTCTGCTCAATCCAAAGGTGGCTATCACTGAACAAGCTTGCCACGGTTTCCAAAGGAACGTGGTTCTCCTGGTTTAGTTTTCTGTGTCAGCACAGCACAGCCCTTTCCCACCCTGATGCTGGAGCAAAGCCCCAAAGCCAGGTGCCCCTCAGTGCACCCCGCAAAAGTGCACTCCAGCACTGGGAAGCCTGGCTAACCAGCCATGGGTTGCAAGCCAAGGGAGGAGGAAGGGGGCTCCCCCATCCTGTCCGCCCCAGGCAGGATTAAGCCCAACCGGTTGGGTGACAACGGCAGCTTGGTTCCCTCTGCCGCGGGTCCACCTGCAGAACAAAAGCCGCCAGTTCTGTTTCAAAGCAGCCCGTGAGCCAGAAGCAAGGCCACCAAACCAGCCGCTGCTTCAGAGAGGGAAAGCCCCTCCTTGTTAATGTGGGGAGACCTCCAATTAATGGCAAAAGGCTCTTCTCCCTCTGCTACCTGAGACCAAACCTCAGTTACATGTTGGGGACAATCAATTAAGAGCTCATTTATTCAACAGAGTCTTATCATTACAAATTAAACTTAATTAGACCTAGCTGTACTACAGCTCACATCCAATTATTGGTGCAAGTGGTAGAAGAAATGAGGATCTCATCCAAGCATTAAGCACGTTTCCCTATCATGAACGGTGCCATTCTTCAATGAACGATCCTTGCAATTCCCAGAGGGCATCCCTTATATTTTTCTAGCAAAGATGGGGTGGGGTGGGGAACGGAGAGGGAAGAGGTACAATGTACAGCATGAAGCTGTAAAGGGGATCGCCACCACCAGCAGCCAAATGGGCCTCAAATCCCAGCCCCTTGGGGAGGAATCCTCCCAGGGCAGAGGCCATCTGGCCCAACCTGCTGATCAGCGCAAGAATCCAAGTCCAAGCCTCCTGGCAGCACATGTCCAGCTCCCACCAGAACACATTGAGTGAAGGGGAGCCCACCGGCTCTCTGGGTGACCGGCTAGGGCTCTGCTGGTGAACTGCTCTTAAAACTGGAAGTTTTTGCCAACGTGCAAGTGGACAATGTCTTGCTGTAACTTAAAAGCATTATTCTACATTGGGCACTCTGGAATGAGGACTACCATGTTCCTCCTCAGCTGCCCCTTCTCAAAACTACTCTTTCCTAGCGCCTTCCACCTTGTTCATTGGACTTTCCAATCCTCTGATCAACTCATTTATTCATTCATTTTATATGGCTGTCCACTCACCACAGAACTCTGGGCGGCCACCAAATCAGGGAAAACACTCATCACACATATATTGCTGGGCACAATAATTCACAAGACATATATTCATGCAACATCCTGGTCCAGAGTCTGAGGAAGACCCAGAACTTCAGGCAGGTGCAGTGGCAAAGCGCACTTCCCGGGTCCTGCAAGATAACATTGTTTAACACACGAAGACCTGGAGTGTGCCAACCCCGTCTGATCTTGTTGGGCTGGCAGAGGCAACTGGACATCAGCAGTCCCTCAAGAAGCTGGCCCTGTGCCAAGCAGGGTTTTAGAGGTGACAACCAGCACCCTGAATTATACCCGGAAGCTGACCAATAACCGTCCTGTCCAGTAATAGTGTTACGGACAGGGTGCGTAGGTCCCTAGTCCAAGGTCCACCCATAGCCACTTTGATCTGGAATCGGTCATGAATGGTGGAATAGTCAAACTTGCTGATGACCTAAAGTGTTCAAAGTGGTAAAAACAACAAGGGACTGCAAAGAGCTCCAAAGAGACCTTTGCACATTAGGGGAGTGGGTGTCTGTTGCATACAGGTAGGGTTTATTGGGGGCAGGGGCAGAACTCCTCATTCAAGGATGAATTCCCCACTGTCTGGGTCCAAGCACACACCATGTCCCAGGTGGCCTTGACTTACCAGGAGGGCATGGATCTAATACCCGGATGGCTGCACTCCTCACTCCAAGAATCCTGTCCACTTCCTCAAGAATCACAGGCTCAAACTCTTCCCAGATACCCAAGTCAGTATGATGGAATGGACTTATGAAGGCCATGCTCAGGGAGATAAGCGTGTTCTTAGCCCCCAA